CACCTGTGGCATAGCTAGACAGGTGGGTAAAATGCTTCACAAATGATCAGCGACAAGGCTTTACTGCCCAGGTTCTCTAGTACTAACTTGACTTTTCCTCTTCGTTCCTCCTCTTTAGATTCATCGACTATAATTTCCTCGACATCACTTCATTTGTTGTCCTTTTTTTGTTTGATATGAAGAATAATCTCAAGCTGGTCTGATACAAGGAGTTTTTATTTGACGCTGCTCCTTCTCAGGATCTTCTGCTGCTTGAAATCGATTACAGCTAATTCACATAAAAGCCCAGTGTTCATAAATATTCCAGCAACCCGATGTTGATTCCTGCAGAGTCTTGATTGACCTTCGCTTTAAGCGGGATTCCTTCAGACTGAACAGGAGGAGTCACCTTGATTTAGCATACTCTAAGGTTCTACTTCCTTTTTGAAATCCCTTGTAAGCTCTTTTTTTTTTGAATCCTCGATCGATTGCGCCTCATTCTTGTCGAATTGTCAACAACGTATGTCATAGAATTCATTACAACTATAAAACCAGAGCATTTCCTCGAAACTTCTTCTTCGCCATCCTTGGTGGAGTACAGGGGTAGAACATCTTCCTGCTTTCGATTTTCTGACATACGGGCTAGAAGAAAGTGAACTACTCTTTTAGTAGAACCGATCTGATTAATTTTGCTAAAGCTTCTTCACTGAACTTCTCAGCTCCTTCTGAAGCAGCACACTCAATCATTTGTGTATAGATAAGCTGATTATCTGAATTTTGATAAAAAGTGGAACAGGATACGATGAGTTGCTTGCCAGTGACAAAAAACCGGCAGAACTCAATGACAACATGACATCCTTGTTGTGCTGTCGATTTTGGTTGGTGAACAAGTTGCTAGGTTGGCTCTCGTCCTTTCGCCACCTGACTGTTTTTTATACTTTCGTGGCCTTCTCGTAGATCTCATTTATCACGCCTACCGCCTTTGAAATTCGATGAGAAGTATCGAGAAAAAAGTCACGTCTACTGTGGACTTTGTTCACTTCATGTACCACGCTCCTTCATTTACCTTTATAACTGTCAAAGTTTTATTCAATATAAGCTATATTCAATTGAATATTACTTGTTTCGAATGGTTTTTCTCAGTCTTTAACCACAGAATGTTGAACAGCTCGCCTGTTTCTCTTCTAAAAGAACGTTGAGGCTTTACACTGTCCGTTTCCTGTCCGAGTTCTTCGAATCACCACTGGGTAGCCCTGGAAAAACTTATGTGGGC